GATGCTAGCTCATGCTGTGCAAACATATTCTCAACGGTCCTTGGACTAGGCGGTTCCACGCTCGGGATTCTGAAATGATGGAGGTAAATCCTAGAGCTCGAATGGGCATTTTCGTCACTATTTTGCTTGGTGTCACGGATCGTTTCTTGACAATGGGAGCCCAGACAGGACCGTCCTTGCGTAACCTTTGGCTTGTTATTCGTAGCCATTTGGCGCGCGTGGGAATACCTAGAATGGCATCAGGTAGGGCGTCTAGATTCACATTGTCGGGGTCCACTCTACAGCTGTGGGTTATCCATCTGGGGTAATAGGTCATGGGCTTTCGAGTTTGACTTGGTCGACCTGTGGAACTGGGGAAGGAATCTCCATATTTCCGGCGTCTGTATCGAGCTGTTGATGCATGAAAACGCGCGCCAGTCACCACGCATACGATACCACAACAAACTCTACTCGGAGTGGTCGGCTTGTTAATTTGCTGCTGCATGATCCGATCAGAGATATTAATCACTTTATGTTATCAGAATCCATTAGACATGTTATCTGTACCGGTCAGGTCTTGATATATGCACATTGTACCACATTGGTGGTTGAATCCTCGTTCCTGCGACAGACCGATATATATCGAGGGTGCACCCTTGGCAACCCTTTCCAACACCTCCATTGCCTAGAACATGCAAGCCATCTGCAAGTCAATGTAGGGTTCTGACTGGATTCTCGCAAGTGATTGGACAAAGCTTGCCAACAGCGTTATCTAGCTACGCGTACCAGCATGTGAGACGAAGCTGCAGTGGTAGTACACTGTAGTAAGAGTGTTGCATGGAATTCTTGATACGAACTGTGCCCAATAGGAGAATATATCCTGCCGTCCATTTTCAAAAGGCAAGTCTCGCCTTTTTTGCTTTCGGAGGGATCGGGCGTGATACGACAAAGGGGTAATGAATTGCCCCTCCTTGTCCGTCTCCTCTCAACAGTTGTGCATCCATACGACAAGAATCATATGTGGCTGAAGAAGAATTTTGCACAAGTGGGTGGGAGACTACGACAGTGAGAGTTTCTAGTTGCTGCCACATGTATGCACACCATTCCCATCTCGCAAGGTGCATCAAATAGTTGGGAATGGCTTCACTTTTTAGGTCAAGTGGCGAGAAATCCAACAGAATTCTTTGCTCAATTTTCTTGAACCGAAAAGATGTCCGCTTGTCCAGTCAATTCACGCATCTCATGTTTGTCTGCCAATTCTCTTGTGCCGGCTTACCCCTCATCCCTGGGAATAATCGTCCCACTTCTATGGGGCCTGCGCAGAGTATAAATCACCGACGACAGGGGTGTAAAAGCGAGAGTTTTTGTAGAGGGATTTGGCATGCCAAAAAGGCGATATCTGAACATATTTGTTGCCATCCACTACCCATTTTTGACATTTCCATGCTAATGCCATGTCTCCACAAGGAGGATGAAGGAGGAGTAGGCGCAAGAGGATGAGAATCTCTGCCAAGCATCACCCAAGAAAGAAACCAAGCCGCTCGCTTCTGTAGAGTTTCAGCGAGCTTTTTTAGATCCCCCCTCTCACCTACAGCCACACACCAAGCCAAGCAGCGCGTCTACCCCGAGCAAGAAAAAAAAACAGATCAAGACATACCCAAAGAGCTCCTCCGCTGTCTGCACCCGGACCCGGACCCCTCCGCTGAGGAGAGGAAAAAAGATGGTGTGATGGGCCCCAACGAATGGCCAACCACCCATCTGGGCAAACTACTGCACCATGGCAAACTCGGTCTGTTCGGGAAGCAACTTGTCTAGGAAATTCAATCTCTTGTGTAGACGCTGGCGTGCGACGTTGAACGTTTTCCAGATTACCCTACTGAACTCGTCCAACCTCTTGTAAACCAACGTGTTTGCATACTGTCAAGTGTTTTCTGCAAAGACAGTGCCCTCACACTGTCGTTGATTGATACTGTGCTAAAACATGTATCATTCCGCAGTTTACCTCTTGGGGCAATAATTACTCCATGATCGGAATCTCCCAGAGTTTCGTGTCCCCGGGCAACATGTTTACAACGACCAAATCTCAATACGTTGCTACCGATAGTACTGGTCATGTAAACTTGTTGCCATTTTCCGCATACCAAACGCTCGCTAAACCAGATATTAGAGCTTTTGCTTTTTGTATTCATATTCTTGTTACAGAATCGTCGCCCGAATGCCATCATACTGCTCCCAACGCCGCTACATGAAAAGAGCAACATGTGAAGACCCTACTTTTCACTGCTGCATATCAGGAGTAGTAGCCAAGCTTGATCGCCACCTGCGGCCACATAAACGTGCCGGTTGCGGTAGCATGGACGCTGCAACCGCTAAACAGCAACGTAACAACCTACTACATTTATTCTGCGTGGGTGTAGCAGTAGCTGGACACGCCCCTATCAACAAGCGAGGCTGATGCCGATCTCCTGCACTCGCAAAAAGGCTAGACAGTTCTTGTTAATAAGTCCTTGAGTGGCACACAAGTCCCTGCATATCTCTATCCTCCCCCAAGCCCTGGCTGGCAGCTGTGCCAACCGAGGAGGGGGACATTGGGCTTGACAAACCCATACATTGCCACAACCACACGTGTATCACCAGATCAACAGTCTCGTTCCTCACCAAGACCTTGTGGAGGGATTAGTTGACGTAATTCCATGATGAAATCACACGTCTTTTTGCAAGGAAAACTTGAACATTGTCCTCGATGTTGTCATGCTGCGTGTATTGCCATTTTCGTAACTTTGAATAGACTGTACGTCATGCCCTACATGTTTACAAAGATTGGTGGTCAATGGTAGTATTCTTTGACATGGTAGAAACTTTGAACCCTTGACATGCACCGACTAGGGCCCATTACCAGCAGTCGCTCAAAGAGGAGATACCAAACCATGATCCAGACTTTGGACGGTGGCGTTTGTGGTCTGCATACTCTTGGTCGCATGTGGAAATTTATGCCTTTTTGCTCGTACTTTGCATGCTTCATCTTCCCCGCCTTGTGCTGCAGATCCCAAGGTTCGTCCGGATGGCCAAGTGCTTCGAGTTTATCAGTTAGAAACCGATGTATGCAACCGCTCAAAACACCATTCTCGTTATCGGAATAGGGCCGTGGCCGTGGATGATCGAGAGCCAAACCCTGGATCGACAAGGATCGGAGCATCGAGAGAATAGTCAGATAGACCTTTTGGTTTGTTTTGATCGTGGACGAGTGCCGGTGACGAGTGCCGGCCAAAGATACTACTACTACTCCTAGCTATTCATGGGGTACTAAAACGCGGGATCGACAATCTCTAGCTGAAACTCTATTCCACAAGCTCAGGATGGATCAAATTGGTTGCCCTTGTCAGCCCTTTCTCTCCTTATCAACAAGTCGCTCGAGTCACTTGGGCCCAGCCACAGCCCACAGCGGTGAAGGGGCATGATTTGGGAAGTGATTTGAGCGGGAAGACTGTATAACCATGACTCGCAAACCCTTACCCGCCCTTTACCAGGGAAACAAAGTGCTTACTCTAGTATGAGTCTATCAATTCTGGTCCGTCTCAAGAACCCCCTCCCCAAAGAAGATCTGGAACTACCACGAATAAGCAATCATTATGCATGTTTTAGGGCACACCTTGCCCAACACGTACGCGTACTGCATAATCACCACATGGTCCAAAGAACTACTACTCAGGTAAAATTAGCATTCATACACCGGTGCAGAATCCGGGGAAAGGCTCAAGTTACACTTGTGGCTGTAATGGCATCGGTTATATTGTGACTAGGGAAAAGAGGATTCGCTTGGTGAATGTCGGTGAGTAACAACAACGTCTTGAGCTTATCGTAGGAGAAACGTAGCTAGTTCAAGAGAATTCTGTCAACGTGGTAGCTTAAGCGTGATAGCCTTTTATCCTTTGGTAGCTTGTCATGGGTTAAGCTTGCAAATGAGAATTCAGTCCACGGCCTGCTATTTGACTAGAGAGAAACATGTTGAACGAGTTGGACAAGGTTGTCGATTAACTCGAAATTCCGAGGACTAGAGTATCAGATATTAATATCGAGCCGTCGTATTCATAGTTGCAATGGTCCCTTGAGAAACTCGGTTCTATCTGAAATTGGCTCGGAATTTGTTTCCTCTTGGCTTGTTCAACAACCAGGTTCATCACGGAGCAATCACAGGTTGAAGCCGGTACATTATCTATTCAGTAAGCGTCATGAGCCATTATCAAGAGTTGTCAATCAACTGGTGAGGGCTATGGGCAAATCATGTAACAAATTCAAGAATGATGGCAGCAGTACTTTGTACACACGTTACAATATCACCCAGATGATCTATGCGAGATAAGCATCGAATACATTCACTTTGGTGGTCATTCAAGACCTACACACACATGACCATGAGCACAAGGCAGAAATATGAATCCTACGATCCTAGTCATACCCCTACAGAAAATAAACACGCAAACCAAACAAATGCTAATGAACCAAGTCTAAGAGTAGGCACTCGACACGTTTTGTGCTTGTAAACTCACTGTCAAGCTGCCCGCAGTTACCGGCCCGTGTTGAAATATCAATAGCCTTGGAATATACGCAATGGATTAGAGACAGATCAGTGGCCTTTGAGGAGTATCTCGGAATTTTCATCATTTTCAAAATGCATACTAGGTCATGTTCAAGAACCATTTGGTGTCTCAACAAGCTTCCAGGTCTCGATCCATGCGAGCAGAATGATGGATTCTCTTAGAACAGAAATGAATCCAAGGGCCGGCAAAAATTTTCACCGGAACTTCGTGGACAGGGCTCTGGTCCAAGTAGATATCTATTCCAACTCATTAATGTTACAACACTTCGGAGCTACATCCGGAGGATTCGGCGCCCCACTCCGAGCTTCGGCTTGCGGAGTCGCCGTATGACTGGGCTTGCGCTCTGTCATCTCATCTTGTACATCAGAGTAGAATTCAGTCAATCTGTATAGAACCACAAGACGTAGGAAAACTGTTGGCAAAATGGCATCTCTATCGAGCGCAGCACCACCCACGACCAGAGCCATAGGATGGATCGGCTTGGGGAGCATGGGCTCGGGAATGGCCTCGAGGATTCAGCAGCATCTTGCTGACCAAGGAGTGCAGCCTCTCAAGGTCTACAATAGGACAAGTTCACGATGTGAGCCCTTGGAAAAGCTTGGAGCTCTTAGGATTTTGTCCATTGAACAGCTGTCTCGGGAGAGCACGATTATATTTATTTCCGTGAGTCATGATCACTTGACAAGACACCACAGGCTAACTCCGAAATTAGTCGAGCGATGATGATGCCGTGATATCAATTATCGAACAAATTCTCGGCTCAGGCAATGCACAAGGCAAAATGGTCATTGATACCACGACTGTTCACCCCGACACGGCCAAGGCCGTAGCCGAAAAGATGAGCGCGTCGGGAGCCCATTTTGCATCAATGCCCGTCTTTGGGGCATCTCCCGCAGCTGCGGCAGGTACGCTCTTGGCTGCGTACGCCGGGCCAGACAATGTCCTCGAGGCCGTGTCGCCGCTACTCAAAGGCGTCGTGGCACGGGAGGTCCTGGTCGTGGGAACGGAGCCGGAAAAGGCGTTACTGCTCAAGACGACGGGGTATGTTGGCAAGCCAATTGGATGGACTAGACCAGGTGCTAAACTGACCGACTGTAGAAACCTCCTAATGGCCTCCCTGATGCAAATCATTGCCGAAGCCCACGTCCTGGCATCCAAGACTGGCCTCCCGGCCGCCACGCTCGAGCGCTTGCTCGAGCTCAACTTTGGCGCCGTGGCCCATACGGACTCGGTTCGCATGACTTCGGGCGTCTACTGTCCGGCTCCGGGCGCCGCGCCCTGGTCGAGCCTGGATCTGGCCCTCAAGGATGTGGGCCACGCCATGGGGATCGCGGAGCGCGAGGGCGTGAGCGCCCGTGCCGGCCGTGTCGCGTACGAGGGCTTGGAAAAGGCCCGGGACTGGGCGCAGGGTGAGGGAAGGATTATTAAAGACCATGGCCATACAACAAGCCCGGGCCGAGCGCGGCCTCTTGACTCGACCAGTCTGTTTGGCGTGGTGAGGCAGGAGAGTGGCCTCGATTTCGAGACTGACTTTGTCAAGGAACGAGACGGGACTACAAGACGGTCATTGCCATAGATTAACAGACTGTCTAGAAAGAATTGTCATTTTGCATGAGAGAATGTCCCATTAGCTAGACAGAAATGAGTGTAAACTGTCTTTTCGATAGACGGAAGAGTCTCTCTTGTCGTCTGGTAAGCCGAAACCTTTTACTCTTGTATCAATTCCACTACTCTGCCTCGGGTGATGTAAATAGTTTCATCAAGAGTTCCGTCCGGAAAAATTGACTTGCCCGTTTATTCAGGCAGCGGTCTCATGATGAACCACTTGCCTGGCTAGACCTGTATTGAAACAGTTGTTCAAGACGTACATGAATTACGACTTGTGAAAGGAACGTCGATCCTATCTGGGAGCCGTTTAGTCCCAGAGATGATGATACACGCGACCAGTCATGTAAAATCAATCAAACGACACAAGTAAAGCCAGGTTCTCACTCGAGAACGCTGTACCATGAATTTACACCCGGATACTCATTTATATTCAATTGAATCCACCACTTTCTTTGCTGTTTTTCACGACTATTTGCAATATGGGGGCCTCGCATATTCATGACTAATTCGTTAGACCTCGGGGTCATGGCACTCCATCCAGACAATTCACCGCCATCGGCAACGGCTGTTGTCAAGCCCCTGATGGATTTTTAATTACGACATTCCGTACCAATGATACGGAATGCTGGATCGAGCTGAAAACAAAGCCCCTGGCTAGTCAAGCTAGATGCCGCCTAGCGCTGGGGTGGCTGTCAGCTATGAAGAAACAAGACTAGGCGCTTTCCAAAAGGGACGTTGCGAGGCAAAAGGAGTCGTCTGTGATTAAAGTGCCTGCTCTGGGCCGAGTCTATATATGCATAAAAGACGAATAAAGCATTTCAAAATAGGGAAAAAGGGCGCGAGGCTGTGTTTGTCGCAATCAAGACAATGTTTTGCAAAATCAAGCTCATGGTACCATCTTGTCCTTTAAGCTTCTTTTATGGAGGAGCTGAGCTATCCTGGCCGATTCCTACCAATATATCCACTCATCGCAAGGACTGGGACTAGTGGCCTGCCCGATCAATACCAGGAAATGAGGGCGCCAAGACATGGAATTAGAGATTTGCTCAAGTATATAATCTCTCGACGGCCAAGAAATCGTAAACAGTAATGGAAACGCTAGACATTCCTTCATTCTTTCTCCGTCTACTTGAAATTAAGCCTTCATAATGAAGTTTACACTCGCTTTGGCATTGGTGGCTGCGGTGGCGGTTGAAGTTGAGGCCATTGCCATTCCGGCCGACACAACGTCCAGCTTGGGCTCGGAATTGGCAAAACCTACCAAGAAGCGCAAGGGCTGTGGCCGCCCGCCATCAAACAGTACTGTCCTGGCATACTCTCAGTCTGCATTCAGCAGCTCTTCCGAGGTGGCATCGACCTCTCTCGCATCATATACCAGTTCAAGTGCCATCTCTTCTACAACGCCTATTGTCACGATTTCAACCGTCACGACTTCTTCTGAATCGACCTCGGAGACTACTTCTTCGGTCCCAACTGAAACTTCTGAATCGGCTACCTTGTCAACCGATTCCACCAGTGTGACTTCCACTGTCTCGACTGATTCCAGCACTGAAGCTTCCACAACCGTCTCTGAGACAGTTTCTACCCCCGAGGCTTCTACAACGGTTTCTTCTACCATCTCTACAACTGATTCCACTACCGAGACCTCCACCACTGAAGCGTCCACGACTGAAGCTTCCACAACCATCTCTTCTACCATCTCTACAACTGAATCCGCTACCGAGGCTCCTACGACCAGTTCTTCTACCGCTTCTGCAACTGAATCCACAACTACTGAAACAACAGCCACATCAAGCACCACTGCTCCGGCCTGTGTAAGTCATATCTAAACTCAGCCACATTTCTATACTAACCCGTCATTAGTCGGCCACCAATGCCGTTGCCGATGGTGGCTTCGAAGAAGGTGATTCCTCGACATGGACCAAGGGAACCCTTGCTTATATTGAATCAAACACCAACAATGCCTATCAATCCCCCTATGGCAGCTGGTTCGCGTAAGTACCATGACACTACACCTTGCCTTTTGGTGCGAGCCTTGTTAACATGTATCTTTTAAAAACAGTGTCCTCTATGGACAAAGATCGACAACGGCTTCCATATCGCAGGCTCTCACCAGCGTGGGCAGCAGCTCCACCCTGTCCTTTAGTTACCGTCTGTACGGGCGCCTGATCTATCCCACGTCGACGTGCACAGCCACCGTCACCTATGCCGGCACCACGCTGTACACGACCGCCTTTGCTGCAAACAGTGCTGCCCTCACGACGGCGACCCGCGGCTGGCAGACGGTATCGGTCCCCGTCGACGACCTGGCAGCCTCGGGCACCTTGGCCTTTGGCTGGACGTGCAGTTCCATCACTACAGACTCTCTAGACTTTACGCTCGATGAAGTGTATCTCAATACTGTCTGCTAGTACCACAGGCCGAGGTTGTGATGTTGCAAGCCAAGCGGACTTTTTAGTCCTGCCGTCTTGATTTTCATCATGTAGTTTTCAAAACACACATTCAAAATGTTTCCAATCATATAACAATATTAATCATAATCAATGTCCGAGAGCCAGCAGTTTTACAAGGCGCGTGACCTCGGGAATAGTTGTACACGAGGCTGGTAGTACCAAAGCAATCGTGACCACAACCAGATTCCCCCCGATAGCAGTCATTCCCCGGAATTGTGGTGTAGATATTGCCTCTCAATATCTGTGTTCCTTGTCTCAAGTATTCGTTCAAACACTGTTTGCAAGTCCTTTGATCAGAGTCTTGAGACATGTCACCACCAGCCCCCGGATCGCCATCAGGCCGGCCCAATCATATTATTGCAACAGCGAGTAATTTCCAGGAAATCTCGCGCACCTCATTAATAGTGGCGACAATTCGAGATGCCAGATAGAGATTTTCTAGTTCTCCATTTGGGGCCACGCAAACAAGAAAATATATATATATTACAAGTGGCAACGTTCATGAAATGCTCATCATGCAGTATCAATAAATTCACAAAAGGAATATCTGCCGTCTGGCTTATATTTATCTGCACCTCTTAATCATCCCCTGGCTCTAATCCACTGTATAATCTCCAAAGCATCTACTGCCTTGTTTGAACTGTAAGTATACGACCAACTTCCAACCTTGTCCTTCGACCCCCTTCTCTTTCAAAGCTTCCAACTTGAAAAAGATGAGAAAACAAGTTCCAACGCCAAAGCCATGCACATGTTAACACCAGAAAAAAGTACCATGACCGAGTTACGCCGATACCATGCCTATGGTAACTACCAACGCCGATACCGTTTCATAAAATCAAGCGCTATGCTGGAGCATCTCGAGTACTCTTAATAACAGACACTTGGTCCGGCGAGACGAATCTGGATGCAAATAGTGTAAATCCCCGAGTGGTATCAAGACAAAAGAAATTCAGGAATTTGCTGATCCAACTAATACGTCTCGCCGAGGTCTGCCAGAGTGTTGATCCCCACGCTGGACCGCCTGGACGAGGCGGCGCTCTGCCGTCTAGGCATGGGAATGCCACTGGTACTCGGCATGGGAATGCTGCTAGTGCTTGCGTCCGAGGTAAACTTGCTATATGTCCCTCTTCGGCTGGGCGTGCGACTTTCGTAGATTTCGTCCGCCTCGTCGAATTCTGACCGTCCAATGCTCTGAGAGTAGCCGTGGAGGCTGCCCGACAAGGAGCTACGAGGCCGCAGGCTCAGTGGCGTCTTGGTTCCGCTCATTGATGTCCTGGAAACAGGACGTCCGATTTCTGCTCGTGAGACTGGCCTGTCCGGCCGCACAAACTGAGAAGAAGCTGCACTAGCGCGACTGCTCGGCCGTGAAATGGACACGGAGCTCGAGTCGGGATCATAGTTGCTGGTCCGGTTCGGTAGCGGGCCAAATGACAGGCGAGAAACCCCAGACGTGCTAAGCCGAGGTACGTGCTTTCCTGTCCGGCCAGCGCCGGTAGACTGCGATGGCGTCTCATCAAGAGCCGCCGAGGCACCCGAGCCAACACCACGTTTCCGACTCCTTATCGTAACCGTGGACGGGACACTGGTGCTACCAAGTACCGATCGTGGGGAGGCTCTTGGAGGGGTTGTAGTGGGCGCCGGAAGCTTGGATCGAGCATTTTGCACGCGGGCTTCGAGACGTTGCATTTGCGCAGTCAAAGTGCGAATGTGGTTGAGCGAAGTGGATGGTGGTATTCTGTGAGACGTGGCCCGGGGAGCAGTCGTCCTCGTGGGCGCGGGTGTTCGGGTTTGGGTGGCGGACCTGAATCCGGATGTTCTGGTGCTGTTTGACGTGGTCGTCATGGCTCTCGGCCTGGGCGTAGTGCTGAAATTTGCTGCCGAGGGTAGTCTAGACTTTGTCGCAGAAGAAGGCATGGGTGTGCGAAGTCTCGAAGCTGGTCTTGGGAGCGACGAAGAGGCTTCAGAGACGGGCGGCGAAGGAGGGTCAGAGAGTCCAGGAGTTAGTTTCCTCGGAGGAGGCAGAGATAGTTCGTCGGGTGGCGTAGAAATGAGTGGTGAGCTTGCCGTTGAGCGCGGCGAGTTTTCAAAGGTGGGCGATCCAGGAATAGAAATATCGGTAGAAATGGTGGATAAATGGCGATTTTCCGCCTTCTTAACCTTGTCTTGCAGGATTTCGGCTTCAACCTTGAGGTCGGACAATTCTTCGCGTAGTCTCTGGTTTTCGATTCTCAGATTCTCTCGTTCCTTTTCGCCAATCTTGACCTCTTCCTCCATCATGACGCTGCGCTCGATTGCCTGGTTGTATTTTTGTTCCAAGTCCTCGAGCGAAGAGGTCGTATGACGGGCCTGTCGCTCAAAGTCATCATTGGCGACCTCGATATCTCGCAGTTTTAGTTGAAGTGTCCTGTTTGTGTCGCGGAGAGTAGTAATCTCCTTTTCCAGGGCATTTTGCGCCCCATTGGCTTCGGTCTTGGCCTTTTTGCATTTTTCCTGTCGCACCGTCAATAAACATGATCCCAGACTCGAAACGAGTATCATTTACCTTCCACTCTTCAGCCTCGAACCGGGCACCCTCGGCCTTTTCTCGTAGTGATCGCTCCCTCTTGTCTGCAGCCTCGAGATCCTTTTCAAGTTCTGCCTCGAGCTCGTGACTGGACTCTCGAAACTCGGCAAGCTCGACAGCCAGCTGCTCATATTGATTCTTGTACCAGGTCAAGGACTCCTCGGTAGTGGCGTTTGGATTTGGCGGGGAAGAAGGTGGCTCAGCCATGTTTGTTGATTCTTAGCGATAAACGCAGTCTGGTGTTTGATAGTGTCGCATGGGCGATTGCAAGCAGTGGGCGATTTGAGCGACCCGTGAAGAAGTGGATAAACGAGTCGTTTCGGATCGCAAATGTTTGCGCAATGTAATGGAAGCAAAAAGTTGATCAAGTATTACACAGCAAGTATGTCGTAATGTATGTCAAAGAATCAAACGAACAAGAGTTGAAATATCGTTGGCACAGGAGAAATGGTCTTTGCAATCTCTGCCGTATCTTGTGATTCAGGAGGCGGCGCGAGTCTTGGTCTTGCAATGTACGTCTTGACAATAATCGCACGTCAAGAGGTGGGTAAAAGATGGTGGCGCAAAAGGAAAGAATGGTCTCTCGGAGCGATTCTTGGTAGTAGGAACAAAAGATCGTAGGCCTGTGACGATCCTTCTTCCGAGACAGGAGAGTCGCGGGGTGAGCTGGAGATGGCGAATTTCCTCAACGACAGCCTTGTTGCGGGTCGGGCTGTTGGCGCAGATACCAAACGTTGCGCGGGAAGGAAGCAAGAAAAGGGTGAGTCAGTCGTCTGTTGTGGTGTTGATTGCTGGAGCCGGTCCTGGGCGGGTGGTGGTGTTGGGCTGATTGTCGCTGGCCCTGTTCCTGTCGTGTCGCCGATCAGGGTCTGGTTAGTATTGTCGTCGTCGATATACCGGGCTATCGCATCGTCGCTTTGGTGCGCCCCAGTCGTAGAAGGGGCCCGGGATGGTTGAAGATGGTCGAGGGATCGCGGTTGAACCTCGCTGTCGTTGAAGGGGATGCCAGTGTCAGTGTTTCCCAACCCTCCACTTTGATCTGTTGATTGTCCAGGTCAGTCCCCAAGTGGCTCCCCTTGGGCTGGCATGGCGCTAGCCGTTTGCGGGCTTAGCTGGACTACCCGGCTACCTATGGCAACGCCCGTGCTTGGCTTTTAGTGTGTTGCGGGCGGTCGCCAACCACTGCTAATAAAGAGGAACAATTGGTGGGCTGGGGGCGAGAAGGGGAAGCTGGATGGCATTACGCTCTTTTGGTGGGGTCATTTGGCACAAAGCGCGTGAACACGTGTGGGAAAAAGAAATACACTCTCTCACACACCCACCCAAAACATGAAGAAGGGGAAAAAAAAGAATCTCGGCCGTCTCGATTCTTCCAGTTTGATCATCTGTAGGCTATAGAATATACAAGACAAGATACCATCCATCTATTCATCCAACCAATTCCCGTCTTCTCCTGGCTGCTACTGCTACAAATTAGGTAGAACCCGACATGATCCGGCATTGAATTTAGTTGCCGTTCGCCCCAATGATGATGCGCCTCATCTAAAAGGGTCATTCATGCAACGGCCCTTTAGCTTCTCTGTGCCTTTTTCTGCCCGCCCAATTTTGGCAAGGACCCATCCAAGCCAACCTCCATAATTCGTCAATGGCTTCGAGAACGAGTCCCACTGCTCTGTCCATCATCTGCACATTGCTCAGATAATCTTGCCCCAAATAGTATCGTCAACCATCTTCTCCTTAATTCTAGCTCACGATACTATTGGCATGGTCCCGAGAATAGGGACATTTCCAACTTTGACATGAAATAAGGACAAGCACAGTGATTGCCCAAATTGTTCACCAAGAAATCCTTTCAGAGAGCCATTTGCTTATACGAGCAGAATAATAACTCAAAACTCTGGGGTATCTGGGTTTTTTCATTTGGAGGTTAATCTTCTTGACCCAGCCAGTTCCGCAGTTTCCGATCCAAGGTTTGTACCTTGAGCACAATGATGGCAACTTAACAGACGGTTAAAACGTTGAACAACGCCACAGCTTTCAAGAGCCACCTGAATCGCTCATGCTGCTGCATCGTCGCCGCTTCTTACCCGATGCTCTCCAGGTCCCTCCACCACCAGCGCAGTTCCATTGGGAAATATGATTCGTGCTCTTGAAGAGTCACCTGGCTTTGCACGGACGAGTACCGGGTCAATGATTTTGCCTCTTTTCCATTCAAAGGATATCGACCAGCCATCTCTCAGACAGAGATCAGACACCTCGCCTTCAGACCACGACCGAGGACATGACGGAAGCAGCCTAATTTCGACTTCATTCTCGCCCTCGTTACCCACTGCAAGGGCTTGAAAAGATTGCACAATGCATTCCACTATCCCTGCACAGCCGCCAAAGTTTCCATCGATTTGGAACGGAGGATGGTTGTCGAAAAGGTTCGGCAGAGTCGAGTTGCCAAGCAGCAGCTCCATGTGATTGCCGCAGCCCTCTGCATCCCACAAACGGGCGTGCATATTGAGAAGCCAGGCCCTGCTCCATCCAGTGTGGCCGCCTCCGTGTGCCGCCCGACGCTCCAGGACCCGTCGCGCGGCATTGGCCAGTTGTGGTGAACGTACTGGATTGATGACATGGCCGGGATAGAGGCCAAAGAGGTGAGATACGTGCCGATGTCCAGGCTCATGCTCTGGATAATCTTCAACACCCCACTCTTGTATGAGGCCGGCGTCGTTGATATGCAGTGGCGGAATGCGAGAGATTATTTCTTCAACCTTGAGCTTTGAAGCATTGGGCAGCTCCAAGACTTTTATACTCCACAAGTACAGCTCCAAAGCTGTCTTGATAATTGTCATGTCCATGGCTGAGCCTTCACAGAATATCCCGGGCTCTCCAGAGTCTGATATATACGTGTTCTCGGGCGATAGCGATGGGCTGGTGACGAGGTATCGTCCGTCTGCTGATGGGATCAAGAAATCCTGCAAAAACGACATGCAGCCCTCGAGGATTGGGAAAAGTCGCCGGTGCAAGGCTCTGTCGTATCGGTACTGCAGCATCTGGAGTACATCTATGCAAAGCCACAACCCTCCGAGTGGCCATAGTGTTGCCGGCATCCAGGTATCTTGAGGGTCAGTATCTGCCCAAATGTCGGTATTGTGGTGGCTGCACCACCCCGAGCACCCATACATGAAGCTGGCTGTCCTTTGACCACGCGTGGCCATGCGCTCAATCAGGTCTACCAGAGGCATTGCACATTCGAGCAGGTTGGATGTTGCCGCCGGCCAGTAATTCATCTGAATATTGATATTGATGGTGTACTTGGCACCCCATGGAGGCGAAAAGCTTGGATTCCAAATCCCTTGCAGATTCGCTGGTAGTGCCTTGAATCCGTCTCGACTACTAGAAATCAGCAAATATTTGCCATAGTTGTGGTACAAGGCAATCAGTCCAATATCTCTTGGGTCTCTGTTTGCAATCCTCGTGTCGGTAGGAACATGATAAAAGTCTGGCCACAATCGCAGGCTTGTACGTTGAAACAAGCCTTGATAGTCTGCAACGTGTCGTGATAGCAAGTCTTGCCATGACCTGCCAAGCGCTTCACGGACGTCTCTTGAAGCGTCGCCCTCTGGATCCGCACAACGATAGGTTGTCTGCGCACCAACCACTAGGAGGCAATCTGCAGACTTGATTTTGATGCAAGTTTTGGTCGCCACAACACTGCCCAATTTTGGATCGCATCCGACACCCAAAACGCAGCTCAAGCGATTGCTCGAATGGCCACCAGGCGTGGCATCCATTACTATCCGGGCTGATGCTGCTTCAGCCATGCTTTCCACTCTCAAACGATCAAAGAACTCATTGGTATCCCACTCATTTTCACCGCGGCGACCAAGGTGTACTTGAAACTGTATTGGTTCCGACGAGGTGATGCGCATCACTAGGACCTTGTCGGGGTAACTCGCAATCATGTCTCTGCGAATACTGATGCCATGGACTTGATATTCTACTGAATGAGTAGCGGTTGCAATATCAAGCCAACGTTTATACGACTCGACGTCTTGCTCCTGGTGGCCAAATTCCAAGTACACAGAGCCCATGGGCTCATAATGCCTCATTGATGCAGGGCTAGAAAAGAACTCTTCACGTGCTAGTTCCTCGGCTTGCCCATGTTTCCCACGACGGATAAGTTGCCGCAGCTTGGCCAAGTGTTTTGCGCTGGCTGGCGTGCGGTCTTGAGGTCCTCCATACCACACGGAATCTTCATTCATTTGAACAAGTTCAGTCGTGGTCCGGCCATGAACCATGCATCCCAATCGGCCATTTCCCAGAGGAAGAGCCCGTGACCATTCCGTCGCTGGAGAATCATAGTGAAGGCACAAATGGGCATGATCAGACTTCATCTTGGCGGCGTAGTCTAAAGAGTGCCCGAGACCAGACCTCGCTCTGCGGTAAGTGCTTCAGGCAGTTGGTCTTATGTTTACGAGTCGAGTTGCCCAATCATGGCCCATACCGCGTAGACATGGAGCTCGCAAGCACCAACTGGATAAGCGTTCCGATATCCCGGAACCATCAATGAAAAGGGCGCACTAGCAGTTCCTCTGTCCAGGTTGGACCCTTTAGTCATGTTCAATTTCGACATTCCCCAGCCCTACGCACGTAGACGACGAGTTGTTGACCGGCAAGATCCAGACGGCCTGATTGGACGGAAGATTTGTGGACCACGACACAATCCGGGGGGAGCTGTGGGGTATTGCAGTTATGATCAGTCGACGACGGGCTAGTATTGTCCGGGGAAGCCAATCATATAGTGATACAAGCTCCACAAAGACAGACATGTAATCGCAAATGTCTACTCCAAATATCCCTTGTTGTTGTTGGCAAGCGAGAAACGCTGGGTTTGGAGGAGCGCGCCAATGACAGATGATGGTCATGTCACTGAAAAACACAGCTGCATAACCGGCTCGCCTAGAGCAGGTTGGGGAATCATCCATCACTGTCCCAGCTCGGCCTTCAGGATGGACCCTGGATAGATCATGGGTTGCAGTCGAGACCTTTGAACCGAATAATGGGGACTGCATTGGTTCCGACTTATTTATCATGCCTGCCCGTCTCATCTCGTCTCCTTTCCGTGCAAGCTCATGTTCTGTGATGCGCAGGCGTCCCAACTTTCTCCTCATTGACTTGATCGAATCCCTCTCGAGTTGTGCCCGACTCTGCATTTCTCGCTGCAATCATGGCAGAACGAAGCAGCCACAAGACTGGCGTCGCGCACGTCGACGCCGCCGAGACGGCCGACAAGCTCGGCACCACGGTCGATGAAGTCATTGCTACGCGAATCACTGAAGAGGACATGATGCGGCACTCGGCCGAGGCCCTCACCTTTCGCTCGCGGACCGGCCTGCGCATCTGCGCCATCATGTTTGTCATGGGCTGCAACCAGGCCGGCTACGGCATTGACTGGGCCGTCATTGGCGGCATCAATGCGTACGATAGCTGGCACAGCTATTTTGGCTTTGGCAGCGCCGGCGTCATTATTGGCACAATCAATGCTCTCATGACCGTCGGGACATTTGTCGGCGCGCCCTTTCTGGCGCTTGGTGATACGTTTGGTAGGCGAGGTGTCAATTTTATTGGCAACTTCTTGGTCGTGATTGCGGCCTTGGTACAGGGTCTGGCCCCAAACTTGCCTTGCTTCTTTATTGGGAGACTGCTCCTCGGATTCGGCACGGCATTATGTACAGCGCCCCAATACATGGCCGAGATTGCACCTCTGCACCTCAGGGGTAGACTGGTTGGCATATTTGGAGCCTGTTTTCAAGTCGGCAGTATCGTCATGAACGCGGCCTTGATTGGCTTTACCCAGTGGAAAGGCAGCGACTGGCAGTGGAGGACACCTTTGAGTAAGCTACATGCCATGTTTGGACTTGATAGTTACTGACAATGCTGCAGTTCTCGAAGGGCTTTTCCCCTTTATCGTTTGCGTCACCATTTACATCTTGTGCCCCGAATCCCCGAGATGGCTCGTCATGAAAAACAGACACGAAGAAGCCCGTCGCGTCATTGCCAAGTACATGACGACACACAATGACATCAACTCTCCCATTGTCGGCCTCATGATGACCCAGATTGAGGAGTCGCTTGAAGAGTCCAGCACTGGAATCAAGGCCGCGTATGACTACCGTGTCTTTTTTACCAAGCAAGTCCGATTCCGCACGCTGGTCCTCTTGGTCTACTCCCTCTTTCAGTCATGGAACGGTGGCGGTATCATTGGCCAGTACCTCACTCCCGCGCTGGATACGATTGGCATTACGAGCGACATTGACCAGCTGGGCATCAACCTCGGACTGACGGCCGTCTACTTTGTCTTTACAGCGTTTGGATCGTACCTCATTGATATATTCCGGCGGCGAACGCTCATCTTTTCGGGCTTGATTGCCATCATCATTGCCCAGACGGCCGTCACCATCACCAGTTGGAAATTCACCGAGACGGGATCCCACGCGGCAGCCTCGCTGACTGTCTTTTGGATCTTTTCCTTCCAGGTGGCTTCAGCCTCGCTCATTGCCACCATGCACAATCTGTATCCCGTCGAGATACTGTCGCTGCCGCTGCGTGCCAAGGGTATGGGTCTGTACGCCATGTTTCAGGGCGCGGCAGGTGTAGTCAGCAATTATGCCATTTCGTTGGGTATCAACAAACTTGGATACAAGATCTGGGCCGTGTATATTGGGTATAATCTGGTGCAGCTGGTGGCCAGCTATTTCATTTTCCCCGAAACGAGCAAGTTGAGTCTGGAGGAGATTGATTCCATCTTTGAGACCAAGCACACCAACCCAGTGAGGCTGAGCTTGACTATCAGCAAGGCAAAGAGGGAGACGAGAAGAGCCGAGAGAACGGAGACGTATAATTAGTCGGGGGCCGGCCTTGGCTCGGAGAAGCCCCACAAGGATGAGGTGGGAATTGAATGCGGGTATTCCGACATGATCAGCCCATCTTCATTTGTGGACCCTAGGTAGCACCCGGTATCTCCTCAATGTTTGGTAGCCGTCCATCATCAACGTTCGCGCCAATCATGTAAATGCTCATTTTTTTCTATATTGGTATAATGATTCAATCGCCTTGGCATGGGAAAACGTCGTATACGAGAAAAAACTTGGACACCATGTGCCGAAAGGCGCTACAACGATGGCTAGTTTAGCACAATTGTTACAACTCTGCATTGTGGAGGTGCATGGGCCTCTCGAAAACCAAGGTGACATCAGGCATGTCGACAAATTCGATCTAGACTGCGTCACCTCCCCCTACCAATATGTGCCAATTGGGATGCTTGTCTTTTTTGTGAAAAAAAAAAAAAAGTCCTACACTAGCTGGGGCACCTGCAATGAAGGAGGCTTCCGAATTTCACGGAAGCAAATGGCATTCGGCCGTGGTGGATGATTGATAGGGGCGACATTGGGGCTTCTAGGATTCAGCATAAGCACCACTAAATGTGCGCTAACTGAGAATATCTTACCACATTTGAATGGGCACTAAACAAGCTGCCGTAGTGTATGCGATTTTGGAAGCCATTGAGAGGGAAAAAAAAGTCCTACCTTTTTCCAAGCTGTGCAGTAGATACTACACTACTACAGGACTCCGCACTTGCGCACCTCGCTGAAGATTACATGTGCCGCCGCTGGACATCCCACGTCGTCATTTTTTTCAGCTTCACAGGTTGACGAGGGCATTGTTGATGTATTAATAGCCTCAACGCCGATCGGTCTCTGTCGATCATACACCTATACTATCCGACTATTCAGGGTAGGAATTTTGTTTCGACAGCTCCATATTATGGGCCGAGTTCTTTTGATTGTGCTGACAAGTCAGTGGTAATAGCCGTACAAGCTGGGTCGCAAAGTGGCCAAAGCCCCTCAAGCCCCTCTCTCGACCCCAAACCAGACACATCAGACCAGCCTAGCGGCCGTCAATGGTGCTGCACAATCCCTGAAAATGGATATCCCGCCTTAGCTATCCCTAGCACCTGAAAGTCTGTATCAGTGGGCTGTGGAAACTCTACTTGGATAAGACCATGTACAGACAAAGTAAACTCGAGTCAAGTAGTATAACGGACGCAACAAGACAATAGTATGCTCATCTAGTTCCAAATCATGCACAGTTGCTGAATGGGTATAACATGTCAGTAAAAGTTGGAAACTAGAATTCGAACCATGACGAAAAACCGCCGTGACGAGATAGATCCCCGGATTCCAAGCACTGCACCAATATACGTAGGGCCCAGGGTCTTGTTTTCGCGTAGGCACAACCAATCATCATGTTCAACAGACTGGCCTGGAGCAGGCTTGCAAAGCCCAGCAATGCCCACATTATCAGCGGCTTCATTAAAATACCGAAGCCGAGCGTCTGCAGGTACGATACACACCCTGGTAAACGTCCAGCGACTTTTAACAGTCCCGCCTCGCCGCCCGCTGCCTGCCTAGGTTTTGCTGGTTAGGTGCCTTTGCTCGCCAACCCGTCCTGTAACCGCCCGAACGGTCGGTCGGGGACTCCAAACCTCCATCCTACGGTTCGATTTTCTAAAACCTAATACAGCCGAGATCCTTTCGCAGACGACGGAACCGCGACTACTTTGCGCCCATCGCTAATTTCTTCCCACCCTGGGGCCGTCGTTTTGTTTCATTACACATCGTTGCCGCCCAACGGACGGGGTCGCGCCGTCCGTCGGTTGCGTAGCGTTGCGCAAAACTCCCCGCCCTCCCCGACAGCGCCTGGAAGAGGTAACCAGCGACGGACGATATGGCGTCGCTCGCCATCGCCGACACCGTGACTGGTCTTTTGGGTGTGCTCGAGGCCGTGGCGACGACGCTCGCGAGTGCCGCCGAGTTGCGACGGAAATGGGGCTACGACGACGCGACCGTCTTATCGCTAGAAAACCAACTTCTCACCTTGCAGGGTGTCGTCAGTCAGACCAAATATCGCGTCGAACAGGCCATCGCTTCGCAATATGGAGCGCCCGCTCTACATGTTCAGCTAGTCCTCTATCTGGACCGGTGCATTACCTGTTGTCGGCCGCTCATTGCGAGGATAGACGGCGATATACTCCAGCAGCATCGACTAGCCGCTAGCGGGCCGAGGAGGAGCATGTCCAAGCTCATGATGAGAATGAGGAGTTCCAAAAAGGATGCCAACCCCATGGCTCAACCGCAGCAATCGTTATCGGGACATCGCCCCAGCAGTTCGATACAACATTCGCCGTCGTCCTCTTCCAAGGCGTCAAAACTCGAGGAAGCACTACCAGTCATACAGCATCACATGGCAGCCTGGACGCTGATCCAGCAAGTCTGCAATAGGTGAGTTTGGAGTACATGAGAAATACTGGCTAGCTGAAATTCCTCGTCTTGCAACTCACTGACTTTTTGGACAGCGCTGCAATTTCCCAGCAAGAATATATTCTTGCATCTCCGCAAACCCACGTCATTTTTCAAGCCATGGAGGAGACGGCGGCGTGGGTTTATGCAAACAGAGACGCCACTTCTATACTCTCATCACCTTCATCATCAACATCTTCGCCAGCAGACTTTTCACCTCATAGCACATCGACCGGGTCTTCAAGCTATGATCCACATTTCACCACACATGCATATCATCAGTGGCCTCATCAACCAACGACGGTGGATGAAGCGTTGGGTTACCAAATGGAGGCCCACCCAACAGAGGCCCACCCAACGGAGGCCCAAACTTCGAGCAGCGGTAAAGCCGTAGCTGTTTACACCAGTCATGCCGAGGAGGCTGACAAGTTCTTGGCCGAGGAATACCGCGTGGAAACACATGACAAGTTTAGTGTAATACCGCCTACACCCACAACACACGAGAAGGAAGCCGTGGCTGGGCCAAGCAGAGGACCCGTCGAGACTAGGGAGAAATTCAGCATAATACCTTCAGGAAAAGATGCAAGGTATCGTGGTTCCGGCTCAGGTAGTACATCCGTCGAAACGAGGGAAAAGTTTAGCATATCAACACTACCACAGGTGGATGAAAAGATGGTTTCCGGTCCTAGCCAAATACCCGTCGAGACCAGGGACAAGTTTAGTGTCGATCCAGTCCACTCGCCCATGGATAGCGGAAAAGTGCTGGTTGACTGGAGCGCCCTGACACCAATCGATCCCCAGGACAAATTTACAGTCACAAGCCCAAGCTCCTCCATTGCCAGTGACACGACATTGGCCTCGACCTTTCGTACCATGTCACTGAAAGAACAAAATCCGTCACTCAAGAGCAAGTGGCTGCGGCGTGGACTTTCCTCGGCGTCGAGTGGAGGGAGCGAGCCCCAGAAGCGGTCGCGCGCCATTGACCAAGATTTGAAAAAGGAAAAGAAGAAGAAGAAGCAAAACGAGTACAAAATCTTGCTACTGGGATCCGAGTCACGATCATACCTCTTGTCGGCAGCACATCGAAAGGAGCAAAAGAAGCTGTCGGAGCAAGATCTGCTCGACTATCGGATTGTCATCATGTCAAACATGGCCAAATGCATCCACGCGCTTGTGGAGCAGATGCGGATTGCCGAGGTACGCAAGGATTCAAGATACCTGTGGGCCTATGTCGAGTTGATAGAGGAGTATCTCCCGGATCATGGTATAAATACCTGGCCAGCAAGAGAATTGGATGAACGGTTCTATGAGGCACTGCAGACGATTGTCTCGGACTCGCTCGTATCGGACCTCATTCAAAAGTCTTCCTTTGATAAAAGGGCACACTGGCCGGGACCTGCAAAACAGTGAGTGCACTCTGGATTGCAAATGGAACCATGACTAACCGTGCCTCGCAGTTACTTTGATTCAATACCACGGATATCGGCCCAGGATTATAAGCCCAGTGAGCTAGATATCCTACATACAACGACATACATGGCCAAGACGAGAGGCGTCAACGTCATAAGGATCAAGGACGCGGAAATCGGGGTGGAGTTCATCGACGTCGGTGGACTGTCGGGCAAAAAGGGCAAATGGATTCACCAGTTCGAGGCAGCCGTCTTTGTCGTTTTTGTGATTGACATGGAGGAATGCCAACATTCGGGGCAAGTGCTGGAGACGATAAAAAATGTCGAGGCCGTCATTGACTCGCCTTGGTTCAAGGAGGCGTCGATCCTGCTACTCATCAACAAGGCCCCCGAACCCAGCAAGAAGGAGGACCGTACCATTTACAACAATGTCCTCAAGACAACCACGTCCATGCTCGAGACGTTTCAGGAAAAGCACGTCGGGCGTGTCATGCTTGCGACGGGCGTCATAATGGGTGGCGGCAAGCAGGTGATTGAAATCATTTTGGGGAACCTGAGGGATGCCATTTTGATCAAGACGTTGAGGCTCCAGACGAAATTACTTTGAGAAGCAAAGTTTTGAGTCAAGGAAAATATTGGGAAAACCAAGAGAGTTGATCCTGGTTCCCTTTCATGACAAATAGTAAAAAATGACAAATAAATCTTTTTGCAGTCCAACATTTGCCGGGGTGCTGGACTGAATTTCCTCCACATTTCGTGTGGATTACATGCATGCAAGGCAATATATATAAACCTTGATTGGACTGAATGGGGCCCTTTTCAACTCACCCCAGCCTCTCGAGATTACCATTCGAGGAAATCATTACCAGATCAAAAGACGAACCTGGATTCCGAGCTTGTTCACGGCCACCAAGACTTGCCGTATTGCCACCCTCTCAATGCCCTTGCCTCAGCCCGTTACAGACTATACTTTGTATAATGCATCGACACGGTTGAAAACAAAGTAGACCAAGACATGGCGCAGTGTAACCACCTCACGTGCATGTAAACCAAACTTGGCACTGCAACGTAATATAACGGAGGGCCCGGGTTCCAGAAAAGAATTTGAAATATCGATATCCGTTGTCATTATATCTTTTTGATGCTAGCGATAACCGAATTTCCGGGGGTCCAGGCGTTGACGATTCGGTATTTATAGTACAGAGCTATACTACCTCCCGGCAGTCCCGTTTTCCCCTCGACGGAATGGAGCCTTGATCCACACGTGTTTCCCATCCAATAATAGAAATCATTTCGTTTTGCTTCTCTGCCTTTACAGTTCGTTGCTGGTGCTTTGAATTCTCGGCTTGTCCCGGCTCTCGTCTGTTCTGCTACTGCCGTCTGGTCCGTCGGCTTCGGCAGATACTCTTTCAACGAGGGCATCCAGCCACCCAGTCAACCGAAAGGCGGCCTTGGCAATCTGCTGCTCTACAATATGCATGGCGCCCTGGGCATACCGATCGCTGCCGAGAAACAAGTCGCTGCCCTCGACGTACCTGCCATAGGCGTAGTCGCAGACAATGGCGTTCGAGTCCCGCGCCCACTGCTCGGGGCAAAACGTGTCTCTCCGCGCGTCAAAGTCGCACATGGCCCAGGTCGACCGCGGCGAGCGGAACGCGTCGTCCCGGATCCGCGAGACGAGACCTGCAAAGAATGGATGTAGAGACGTTGCGGGCGGGCCGTTGGGTAACGGTGCCAAGGCGTATAAAATATCGCGGTCCCACACCTGCGTAACTGACTGTTAGCTTCATGTAGGTACTGTAGATCTGTGCGATTCGACGTGCATGGCGGGCAAGACGGAAATGGACCTGTCCGCGCAATATTTGCACAAAATTCCGTCGTACGCACCTTGTGTAAATCCGAGTCTGTTCCATTAAACTTGACCTTGATGGAATTGCCGCCCGTTGCCCGGTTGGACGTGTGCAACGGCTGCGCAACGTCTCCGGCAAAGTGCGTGACCCATTTCAACGCCTCGGAGCATACAATCTTGCCCGGTGACCTGCTGTTGTAGTCTCCCTTTGCATCAATACGGCCATTCTGCTGCGCTCTCAGACATTTCTCGAGAATCTTTGTCTGGTTTGAAATTTGTTGAACCACACAGCCGCCCTTTTGACAATCACGGTGGTAGTATAAACCACAATCGTCTGGCGGATTGTCACGCGCGCTGATGAAATGCCAGGTATAGCTGTAAGGATGTGGATTTCTGCGCACGGTATCGGCCCATCCAGCGGCACGGCCCAGGGACCCCTGGTACTCGGGCTCTAGGATTGAGGCAACCATTTCTCGCGTCGCAGTGCTAATCATTTCGTCGGCCATGAAGCCAATTTGGTTATGGACTTCTTGTTGCCATGAATGTACTGGTCCAAAAAAGCTGACCAGAGGTAGCAGAGCGCCGAGTGTGATCTTGGGCAACATGATGATTTTCGGCCGGTTGTGCTCACCTACTACCAGGGAATGAATGCGCAGACGAATTCAAAAGACGATAAATGCCAAGGGAGACGCTCTCTTTATATGTCCTTTTGATTGTTTCGTCTAATGTCTCAGCCAGCCACTCGTTGTACTATTACAATATTCAGCCCTATCTAGGCAAGTCTCGACCCAATGGACTCACCCCACATTGCCTCCGAGGGCATGGTTCAGCTCAGCTGAATGCTTGGCAGATTTCCATAGAGTTATCAAGGAGGTCAAAGTTTGGGCTGATTCCATATTTTGTTCAAAACATGTTCCTTGGCATGAAATTTGGCAGGATTCATCGGCATTTGACGGTTCGGCCCGCAATGGCTCTGTGCCGTCTGTGCCGCTTGAAAGTGGAACATGAGCTATCAAGTGCGACGATATCAGGGCAACTGGCCAGGAACTCGTATCTGTCTGCTTTGGGCTTTATGAATGGGGGTTCGTCGTTTTGAAAAAGCAGTGCAAACCGGATTGTGGTGCCAAAAAAGATCACCGTCGAATACTTTCGTTCTGGCCCTACATGATCAAGACTGGAAGGGCATCTGCGAGGCTCGAGGTCCAGCTACTAGTCTCATTCAAATCGCATATTCGAGGTATCGAGTCAATCGCAGCTTGAACATTGCCAAATCTTGTTCTAGAATGGATCTGAGCCAGCCTCTGGAGAAAAAAGGCACGGTCATCCGGATCGACGCTTTCGATTGCTGCCACGAAACAAGGCCAGACGAGGGCATGGGCTCCATGAGCGGAAGGTGATAGTTGGGATACGAGGCTGCGCAGCTTCTTGACTGAAGCATGTGTATTCGTTGAATCGCCCTTGGCGCGTCCGAGATAGATTTGAAATGCTTCCACAAAAGTCTTGTGAGATATTTCGACTGCTAGGTTATGTTCCGAACCAGGGGGGAAATCGTGTGGTATCCAGTCAAGGCGATTGAAAAGCGACTGGGAAATAATCTCTACTCCTTCTTGCTCGCTGAGTTGTGGACGCGCAATAATCTCAAACCTACAGCAATGATCAATAAAGCGTACATAATTGTATTCCTGAAAGAAGCCTTACATGTGGGTTTGCTGAGTCAAAAAGTCATGCAATTCGCGTGGAATTGTATCCTCGTTACAATTTTGAGCTGTAAGCAGCAACATTCGCAGCAACGGAGCAAAGCTCGAACTTGGATTTATGGTCTCTCCGACGAGAAGAACAATGAGAGCTATCCAGGTGGTTGTGGTAAATACCGACGTTCCGCTCAATGCATCTCTTTGCAATCGGTCAATTATGGCCTTTTGGCCCTTTTCAGCGGCACTCTTGAGCTGTGGCTGCGATTGACTGAGATGTTGGGCTGCAACGACTCCGACAGCGCGCTGAAGGAGATTGTCTTGACATGCCAATGGTAGAATGAACTCTCGATATCCATTCTTCAGACCGTCAATGACAACCATGACTGGGGCGACCGCGTTTGAAACTAGGAATAAATGTTAACCGGGAAAACCTCTGGGGTTCTGTAAATTGGCTGCGTACAATGTGATAGAAGCATTCGCGCATGATGTCCTATCGGAGGAAGCCATGCTTGAGGGGTTGGGTAGACGGCTTGCGACAATTGTTGAGCTGCCTTTTGGAGAATGGCAATGGAAGCAGTTTCATCTCCTTGACTTTGTTCTGCTATAGGCGAACTGAATAATAGATCCACCTCTTGAGCCAAAGGGGATTCGGGGTCCTTTTCACCAGTGTCGGAGTGACTTGGACGCACTGCGAGTAGGATTTCCCTGCGCCCCGCAACGGTACTGCAGGGCGCTGGAGCTGGTATTTGCTGCTCCTCTGACACCTGTTGAATCGCCGGTATTCGGGAGTTTTTGAATTTTCCTCTGGATGCGACACCGGGAACGAAACGAATCCGACCCAGACCAGAGCACTCGAGTCCCTTTTGTTTACATTTTCTGCAGTGAGGCTGGCCTAGATCGCAAATGATGCGACGCCTCGAGCACTGAAAACAGCCTTTTGTCTTTGGAGGGGTCATTGTCGGTAGGTCATACTGGCGGGCCTTGACACTGATTGTTTATTACGGGGAAAAGAAATAATACACTACGATTAATTCTTGCAGAATGAAGCTCCAGAGGTCGATTGATGTTGCAGCTCGAGGTTGAGTAAAAGTCTCGAGCACATGAAGAAGGGTCTGCCGAGATCAATTGGCTGGTACTTTTCATCCGTATCCAAGAGTCGCCTGGATTGTGGAGCTTTTCAGTGGACGAATGGAAGCTACCGAAGCTCCATGGAGCAACAAGCAACCCCTAAACCTGTTCTAGTTGGCGCCCTATTAGTGGCATCCAATGCTCCAGTTCACTGCCAGGTTTCATCACTCGTGCACTAAATATTGTGTATACCTACAGATAGATCCATGATGTAGGCATGTCTTGAAATTCGCACCTCTTGATACATTCAGAGTGCCTTGATGTCGACATTAATCCAAGACTTTTCTGACCAAGTCATCGACAATAACCTCTGGGTCATGATCCGATTGTTTCAACAGGCCAAAGAATGTCCAGGTGCCCACCAACATATTGACTTTGAACTAGGTTAGGGTAGCTGAGTCGGTTGGATCGCCCCAGGACTCCCTCCCCTACTTTAAAGGTTTGGGCGGGCTACTCCAGGCTCGTTGAGCAATTCGCTAACCACTTCCGCAGCCGCTCGCGTTCCCTCTTCAATGGCGCCGTCGATGAAGCTGCGCCAACCTACTGCCCAGTCCGAGTTGGCAAACAGCACATTTCCATGTCGAGCTCTCATGTCGTCGAGGTGATCAGCAAGCAATCGGGGCGGCGAAAAGAACCAAGCTCCTTTGGCAAACTCGTCCTTGGCCCAGTTGTGAAACACCTGCGGCTCGAAATGGTCAGTAGGTGCAAGGTACACGTTTAGAAAATCGTAGGGAGGGAGTCACTGACTAGCCGTTGAATATCGCGCATCTCGGGTGCCAAGGCTTCTACTGCATTGATTGTCTGCTCAATATCTTCCTCGGCTTGGATATGGTTCTGCGCAGCACCAAAGCATACAATGTGGGTATTCCCACTGGGCGTCGTGCCGTCTCCAATGGCATATACCAGCTTGTTATGCGGATGTGTAATACCGCTCCATGAACGCATGTCCTTGTTCTTGATCTCGGCATGGACCTTGACGCACTGATTGACATGGCCAATACCGATTGCCTCTTGCTTGCCCTTTGCAAGTGGCGGGTCGAACCTGATGGTGCCGAGGACGTTGAGAGGGACGGTACAGATGATGCGAGATGCCGTAAAGGTCGCTCCGGCTCGGGTAGTGACGCTGACGCCAGTCGACGAGTTTTCAATCGACGCGAGAGGAGTGGAAAAGGAATACGACAATCGTCCCGTTTTCGAAGCTTCTTGGAAAAAGTGACGAGCAAAGCTCGACTGGCCTTGTCGGAACTTGTATGTAATCAACATGTCGAGACAGCCTTGGTAGGTGAATCCACACAGGGCCCACCAGTGAAGAAACTCGAGAAAGCTCATGTTTGAAAGGGTACCGCCGCTGCAGAGTAGCACAAAAGCCTCTACCGTCGTTCGCTCGTCTGGTGTCAAATCGTTGGCAATTTGGTCGAGTCTATCCTGTGCCGACATGCTGTCGAATACGCGTGATTGCTCGTTGTGGAAGATATCGTGAGGCTGGGGCATGATATTTCGTCCGTGTGCGCCATCCACGTTGACAAACTTTTCCAGACCGGAAGCAAGAAGTTTATCCTGCCGCATATCAGGTTTCGTCAGCAAGATAATCTTTCTGTGTCCGAGAGGAGCTCACCTCGTCGTCGTGGCTTCTGGTCGTACTCGAGGTCGCAGAGTTTAGGCGAAAGTGGTTCACGCCGCGAGAAAAGTCAAAAGAGCTTTCAAGTGCCGTACTCAACCCATATCTGCTTATCTCACGCCAGACATGCGGCTGATGCCAATGAACCCACGTACCGCCCATTTCAAAGGGATAGCCACCGATATTCGAGGACCATGATCTGCCACCGATACGATCCCTAGCTTCTAGCAGCAAGACATTGAGCCCTATAGCTGAGGATCAGTCACTGAATTGCGTCCTGCTCACGTCGAGTGATTTTACCTGCCAAGGTAGCATCGCGGGTAGCTGTCAAACCGCAATACCCAGCGCCTACTACAATCAGATCATACTTGGCCGTGGAGGTGATGTTTGTTGGTGGTTGAATGACTCCCAAGGAAGGAACGCCGGGCTTGAGCCCTTCTTGTGGCGTCCACGAAAATCCGTCGCGACTCGTCATGTTTTGATTGTCAAGAAGGTCTTGATGGAAGGGTCGCTTGAACAATGCTCGAAAAACAAATTGCTGGCGAGTCCATGATGATTATGGGTAAATGGTTAATTTATGTCAAGAGGAACGAAAATTCTCGTCACTCGATTCTTTTCCCACGATCTTTTATTATTATGGAATCTTCCCAAAATGGTCAATATTGAGAGATGCTTATCACCAATCAGACGAAATTTCCAATTTTGGGCAATAAAGTGAGATGCTATACAAAACACTCGGTTACAAGAAATCGCCTCCTAAATACCATTCCCGGGTTGCTCACGATAGTATACCCGTAGATGCCCACTTCCCCACAATCCTCTATTCCTGATATGGGCAATAATGTGAGAAACCTCTGATCCGCTTCTGGCACTACGGCACTGGCTGGCGAGTCAGCCATACCTGTTCTGGGCAATAAAGGGAGAAGACGGCCTTATTCTCTGAGCTGATGAAATTTGCCAAACTTTCATTGACTTGAGTTTATCAAGACACGACCAGGAACAGATTCCACATTCATCCTGGCGAAAGTCATCTTGGCGTTTCCATGAGTATCGGTTACATCTCATCACGGGATGCTATACCCCTTGCTCATGGCATATCAGACCGAGAACATTTTCCAACTGCCAATGTGGTATAGCCTTTTCGTTATCTCAACGGTGACGGTGACGATGAGAGGTTGGAAAGATAGCTAATCTCCTGTGTAATAATGCAGGTGCATTATAAAGGCTGCCTAGCAAGACTTGTCTCCTTGATTGAATGGTGTTGCATTCCGGCACATGTTCACTTTTCTTAATCAGGACAAAATGTCTTGTAGCGATATCAAGAGCAAATCCGCAGGTATGTACTTTGGATATACCTCCTGTTCTAAGTGGGATCATTGACAATACTCTCAAGACGGCAAACATGCCCTTCCAGACTTGGAATTACGTGAGCAAAACTCTCAAATCGAGCCTTGCAATCAGCACTAAACCCACCGGACAGAAACGACCAACCAACAAGGTCAGATCCTCAGTCTGACAGGTGTCAATGTGTCGAGTAATGTCCATCGTACTCGACCCATGACGCTATGGGAGACGATATCAGCAAGCTGGATCATCTGCAACAGCTGGGCGGGTATCGCTGCCACTATAGCACTGGCCATCACCCTCGGAGGTCCCGCTATTCTCATCTATGGCCCGATTGTCATGTTCCTGCTCGTCGGCTGCTGTGCTATAACGCTGGCAGAACTCGCCAGTGTCTATCCGACGGCGGGCGGGCAGTATCACTGGACGTCAATCTTGGCGCCCAAGAAACTGAGTCGCGGTCTTGTATGTTTTGTGCTTTGTATCAAGCATGATGTGGGCTGACACGGACCGACTAGAGCTACTTTTGCGGGACCGTCAATGTCTTTTCGTGGATTACCATTTGCTCCGGAATCGCCATCATTGGACCGCAACTCATCCTCGGCATGGTACCATTTTTCAACGACGAGTATATTGCTCAGCCGTGGCATGTGTTTCTTTTATACCAGATATTCAACCTGCTGGTTCTTTTGTACAATATATTTGTGCTCAAACATACTCTTTGGGTACATACCCTGGCACGTAAGTTTAAACGTTGAACCAAGCACTAGATGATCCTTCTGCTTACCATGATCTAGTGGCCGTGTCGATACTCAGCTTTGCGGCAATCCTCATCACTTGTGTTGCGCGCGCTCCTACATACCAAGAGTCTGCTTTTGTCTGGAACACTTTGCTCAATGGCAGTGGCTGGGACTCGGATGCCGTCGCCTTCTTGATTGGTCTCGTCTCTCCCAACTACATGTACGCGGGTATCGACGGCGCCCTGCACTTGGCCGAGGAGTGCACAAATGCCGCCATTGTGATCCCGCGAGCCTTGCTAAGTACTATTACCATTGGTTTTGTCACTTCTTTTGCATTCATGATTGCCATGGTCTACTGCGTGCAAGACTTTGAAATGGTCGTTTCTACGAGTACTGGGTGAGTTGGAGCATTCGTCTAGACTCTATTCCAAAGCACATGACAGCTTTCTGACTGAATCTTAGAGTCCCAATCTATGAACTTTGGTATCAAGCGACATCTTCTAGAACAGTTGCCAACTTTTTCCTGTGCCTACTCCTCTTGGCAGTCATCTTTGCCTTGAACGGCGCACACCAAACAGCGTCGCGACTGACATGGTCGTTTGCTCGCGACAGTGCATGCTGGGGAGACACTCTGATCAAACGGGTGCATCCAGACCTAGAGGTACCAGTCTATGCTCTCCTCGTGAACTTTGGCATCATGTTCATCATTGGCTGCGTCTACCTCGGATCGACATCGGCTTTCAACGCAATAATCGGCACGGGCTTGACGCTACAGCACATGACGTACGCCATCCCGGCAGCGCTCGTCATGTTTAGAAAGAGATCAGCCAAGATTCTGCCCAAGAATCGAGCCTTTGCCGTACCCAACGCTCTGGGGTACGTGGCGAATATCATGACTGTCGCCACGGCCGTTCTGGCACTCGTATTCTACGATTTTCCGACCACGCTACCGTCCACGGGCGACAATATGAGCAAGTGCATTGTTCCAATCTCACAAGAGTCATGCTTACAATTTTCCAGATTATGGCGTCGCTGTTTTAGCAGTAATGGCTCTATTTGGCTGTATCAATTGGTTTGCACACGCCAGGAAACATTTTCATGGACCAAGACTTGATGATGTGTAGAGGATAATTCTTATTCTTGTTACCTAGCTTTTAGTCTATTATGAACTCTGGCATGTGGGGTTCAGGCACTGAGAATTCTTCCCGAAAGCAACTCCAACACACGTTTCCCCCCTTCATGATTGCGATACAGTGACCTTTTCCTAGCTGAGATAGCAAAGCTGCCACGGCAAGTCTTGCCGGCCAGTTTCCATGCGCATGAACAATGCTCGGAGTTCCCGGGGGATCCAGCAGCTCATCCCACGAGTTGATGCTGACAACATCACCCAGCACTGAATGTTCCTTGTCCTTGCATGCGCAACTGTCTGGAGGGGCAAAGACAATGTACGGACTCCTCTCGAATTGAAGCACATCGATATCTCCGATCCTTTTTCCTCCTTGCCTGACTGACAATACTGATTCAAGCAGAAAGAGCTCCTGGTCAATCTCCCCGGTACACTGCCATTCGATTGGAAACTTCCACTCTGTAAATGACAAGTGAAGTGAAGAGTTTTCAAAAGCATCTAGACGTCTACCATCAAAGGGCCGATGCTTGACGCTATACGGATCGTAAGCGGTTCCTCGGACCATTGGCTCCAGTGGCGCCACCAACAAGACCATGCCAGAGTGGCCCGTGTTTCCAATCAAATGGTGTACTTGCGATGCAGCATCCGACGATCCGGGGTCAGAAAGGAGGATGCCGGCAACGAATAACGAATCTTCAGCGCCTAGAGCCACAACCTCTTCTAGCTGGCCAGGGTCGACATTGAAGCGACCAGACTCGAACATGGCAATGCACGCAAAGGTCTGGGCTCTCGTGAGGCCCACGGCCCAGTCTTCTGCCGACTGGTACCGCACAGACTCTCCATCCCCCGAGTCGACGCATGCGCGCAGACCAGCGGGTATCCAGAGAGCATCATTCAATTTGAGCGTGACAATACGTGGAGATATGGTGGCCGTGTGCAATTGACCATATATGTGCGTTGCAAGCTCAAGTATCCTTAGAGAAGCAAGATATTGCGTCGACGGCTTGTTGTGATTACTCATGAGGATGTACGATGCATATCCCTGGTCATTTGCCTGAGTTATGGTGTTGTCCAAGTCGAGAGCCAGAGCCTGGCGGGTCGGCTTTTTCCACGAAAACTCTGATGTTGCCTAAGTCTTGATTTAGATTTGTGTCCTTTTCCATTCGGGGAGAATCACATTACTTGCCTGTAGTATAGAAAATAGGTGATCCAATAGATTCTTGGTAGCCGTGAGACTCTGCAACCAGCATGTACTTGCTCTGATACTTCCGACAGTTTTTTGTGCATCATTGAGACCGATCGAGATGGACTGCCATGACGATAGTGTGGATGATGATGATAATGATGATGGCAAAGTTGTCTTCTCCTTTAGCCAGACTTGAAAGTCAAGATTTCCCGAATTTTGCGAGACTGAATCGATTCGAGCTTCTCCAGATCCATCAGCAAACAAGAATGGTGGATTCTTCCAGGTTAAATGTTGATTATCCGCCAAGTGTTCCCCAGATGGCTGCTCCTTTGCATCATTGATAATGAAACAACCCTCTCCAAGGCGTTCAATATCGGCTTTCCGGTTCTGCAGCGACTGAAGAGAATACTTGGCCGAATCAGCGCCATCCTTGGTAGCATAGTATATCCATCGCACGTGACCATTCCCCTCGGTCCCGTCGTGGTGCTGCCACGGACCGGATTGAACCGTGGCCCATTCGTGGTATGTAACGCCCTTGACGAGTGGTTTTTTATAACAAACTGCTGCATTGAAGCCCGTCATGTTGACACTCGAGCAAGCTTCCCGCAAATAGGCCACTCCCCGGTTGATGTCTCCCGTAACCTTGATGGCCGACATGCAGTGGGGATTGCAGAGGCCAAAAAATGGCAAAGTAAACATGGGATTGCTGTCGAGAAAGTGTGTTGCGCGTCGATAGCCATACTTGATGACTGATAGATCATGCTCCTTTTCAGGCTCGTCTTGACCGAGGACCTCGTGGCATGCATCTGATATTCTCCAAAGCCATGTGAGCGCTTTGGATTCCGCCCTAGGATATCGTCGTAAAAGACTGCCTAGCTGGCGAAACCAGTCCACGGCGTCTGGGATCCTCGAGTTTTCCACTTGCCACTGGCGCAAAATGTTGCCCAAGGCAATCAGCCAGACTTTGGACATGGTTAGTCTTGGCTGGCTCCTGGGGCTCGTGACCTTGACAGACGATCCGTAATGCCTCAAATGGGACAATGCGAGTGACCAGCTGTTTGTCTCGTGTTTGCTCTGTCCAGTGTATTCGAGCCCAAGACTCAGGATTGCCGAGCTTGGGAGCAGAGGATCATTGAGATGGACTAGAACTGTGCCCGTCCCTTGGAATACAAGGAGATCGGGATACAAATGCCATGACTCAATGGAGTGCAACAGTGATCTATCCGTAGCTTCTTGTGGCAAATTGTTGAGGAGATCTTCCATGGTCTTCATGGACCTGAGCCACGACTGAATTACCTTTTGGTATGTTGTCCCAGTCGCGGTCCAAGGAAGCTTGATATTACCGGCAATCAAGTTGAACTGGCAATGTTGGGATCGCTTTGTTTGCTCAGCCCTCCGAAGCCAGGCCCTCATGCTCGAGTCCCACTGTGCCAACTCGGACCTTTCAATCTCTTGTTGCGACGCTTCCACCACCTCCCGATACATGTAACCTCGGCCGCCCGTTGCCTTGATCTCTTTTTGTCTTTCCCTCACCAACTCAAACCATAGTCCAGTGGCCTCTGCAGGGCTCCATGCCTTTGCCAACATGCAGCCGAGCAAGTGCATGCTGATTGCTGAAGGACCCGACGTAGCAGCCGCCCAAAGGGATCGGGCATCAGCACCAATATGATCCTTGAAGAATCCATCAGCGTCAGTGCCTTGCGGGTTAATGGCTTGATTAGACATGATTTCCGAGGCACGACAGCCATAGGCTTTGATCAGTGTTGGCGTCGGAGGGACAATATCGTTGAACAGCCGACCGAGTTTGGTCGCTATGTCGTGGATTTTCCCATGTTCGGCCTCGTCCTTGCGTCGTTGGGTGAGCGCTGAGCCAATGGGACGGAATTCGGGCGGCGCCTCACACTTGAATAATGATATATCGAGATTCACATGGACGATGGAGGCCGAATTCTGCATAGGCGCAGAAATGAGGTTGGGAATCATGGTCTAAAGGAACGATGAGTCGCTATTAGAAGCCATGTCAACGATGTCACTACAAGTATAAAGCCCGCCTCGGAGGGAATTGATTGAATTTAGCGGGGCCATGAAATTATTCTAGAGGTCCACTGTCTTGCATATAGAGTTGAATGAGCGCCCACGATACGGCGGTGAAGCAAGGGAAAATCTGCCTTGGGCCAACGTGGCAGCCACGCATTGGGGGCCATGCAATCACCGCTCCACCGCATAGCACTGCCACAACCTGGCTCGAGATGAACAGAACAGCTCCTACACACGTCTCAACCTCATGATTGATACAAGGACAGAGATTTCGCGTCGCACCACATCTAGTGATTGTGCCTCGGCAGAGGCCATTGATCCGCGATCCTCTGATATTTCACGGCCCTTTTCAACACCATTCCTTGGTCCAACTGGGTCGTCTCCCTCCGAAAGATATCTCGCCAAGGCGTCTGACACTCTGGCGTCAGTTGTTTAATCTTGTCCTCCATCTCTGCTCTCCTGGACTGTATTTCCTCACTGGTAAGGAGGAGGTCCACGCGTCTTGCATCCAGGTCGATGCGCAACATGTCGCCGTTGCGCAAAATGGCAAGATTGCCCCCGGCGGCTGCTTCCGGCGTGGCGTGGAGTATCGAGGGCGAGCCCGATGTTCCTGATTGCCTCCCATCGCCAATGCAGGGCAGCTCACGGATCCCCAGCTTGAGCAGGCTGGCGGGAGCGTGCATATTGACCACTTCTGGGGCGCCAGGATAGCCAACGGGGCCTGCTCCGTGCATGACCAGAACCAAGTTTTGGTCAGATTCGCCCGGGGCTTCGTCGTCCAGATGCTGGTTATAATCTTCCGGTCCATCAAAGACCCTGACTTTGCATTCAAACGTGTTCAGATGCCCAGGATCTTGCAGGAACCGTTTTCGAAAAGCGTCGGAAATGACCAAGGTCTTCATAATGGCAGAGTCAAACAGAGAACCTTGGAGATGTATAAACCCAGCGTTTTCCTTGAGAGGTTGGTTATACGCTCGGATTGTTCTCCGATCCCATGAATGCTTGTTTTCAATGCCATGCCGCAGGGTTCGTCCAGTACAGGTCGTCACATTCCCGTGCAGCTTGTTTGCTTCTTGCAGCTCTGCCATTACTGCAGGTAAACCGCCAGCACGAAAGTAATCCTCGCAGAGTCTAAATCATGCTCATTTGGGGAATGATCATTTCGTGGCGTCGGACGTAATAAAGCACCAAGGCTTACAGCGGTCACTTACAAACCGTTACTGGCCATGGTATAAGTTTAAACTCTCAAAATCCTTTCATGGCTTGAAAAGAATCAAGGCAAGACCAGCCTTGACAAAACTATCCTCGGCTTTCCCCGTCCAGATGAAGTTTTCCCACTGAAGCGACCCTAGCAGCAAACGCTTTGTCTGCGTCTGTACGAGTTTGAGGCTGTCCTCGATTTTCCTTTGATAGCTGCCCTAGTATTGCAGTCCAAATCCCAACAGCAAGGGGGCCAAATGAACTGAATTATTCTCTGGGGCATGGAGTCATACACCTCATGAACCATCTCTTGGTTCAGTTGATTGATTCAAATGTTTCGTCTAGAACGGTTTCCAGTGCAAAGTCCCAGCTCTCGCCCAGGCTGTTGTGGCAGGTCAGCATTCTCGCCTGTCAAGGATTGGGTAGCGTAGTAGAAACGCACTTTGGAATGGACAAGTCGGTCATGTTGTCCATCATGTAATCGTCGGGAGTCTGCCAGGGAAGGGGGGGCCAGTTCCCTCGCATGGCAAAATTTTCATCTGCCGTGCTGGTGGAAGGATTTTCGGGCAGAAATCCTGAATCGCCGTATTGCTGTGTCGCCTGGCCTCGTCTTGCTGCTAGCTTTCCCATGGCCTTTCTAAAGAGATCAATGGTCATTCTTGCTGTCCAGGCACTAGGAAGCAGTTCGCGAAGAACGAGCATGTAAAACTCAAGCTGGAGAAAGGCATGTCTTTGGTAAAAGGTATTGGTCGAGGTGGAGAGAAACAGATAAATCTGCATTGCCGGCTTAAGGGCCAGAATACTAAAGCTATTAGTGACTTGTAGTATTCATGTCTCAATCAAGGCACTTACATGGTAGAATCAAAGAGATTAATCAACTCGAGCGCCGTGAGCCTGTTGAGAGTGGTGCTTATGTTATCGGCAGCCAGTTTTGCTTTTTTCAGCGCCAGAGCTTGCCAGTCCTCAAGATTCATTGTACCATTACAACTGGGCAGCTTGAGAAGATATGGCCGGTAGAGAATAATCATTAAAACTCTGCCAGTGGAATTGATTAGCATGATACAGGTAGGTAGAGAATAAGCGAAGGCGAAATGGACGTACTCGTAGTGAATCAAGATATGGGACGCATAATTTTGCACGAGGGGATTCGAGTGCTCGCAATACTCTCGGCATGGTTGTGCATGCTCTTGAATCATGGCGTCATCGGTATTAATTTGTTGAATTGATGGAGACTTTCCTGGCCGGTAATGCGCTCGTAAGAGTTTTGATAGAGTAATGGACAAGCCGAGGTTGATAAGGTGAACTTGAGAAAAGGCAGCGCAGTCTTCTGGTCCTGGAATGTATTTCTGTCGAATGTCGTCGGGTAGCAGAGATGTGCCTGCCCACATGTCTTCTGCTGCGGGCATTGGCATGTCGCAATCTTCGGGATGAATTCTCATCGGTCGCCCGTGGCTCAACGCAAGCCATGTTTCACGGTGGAAGCAACTCCACCACAGTCGTTTCCATAGAGACATTTGCGCTTCAAAATATGACTGCTGCGGACCTGTAGAGTTTCCGAGGCAGGGATTGCGGTGGAGGCCAATAGTATGACCAAGGCTAATGGCGACCCCGATCCAATGCCAAGGCCCTGTACGGTCCTCCGTGTCGGCATACCGGTTGGACATTAAGATGAGAGACTGAAGGAGTGTGATTTTGTTCTTTTCGAAATCCATGTCGTATAAGCACTAGAAACGGTCAGGCTGAAAGTTTTACCAGAATAGTAAATGTGTATTGTTAATCCATAGGCACATGCGAGCAAGACCAACCTTTGCCTTTTTATATAATGAATGTTGCATTTCCTTGTTGGATCGAAAACCAGCCACCTTGACCAATGGAAGAGGTAGAGTCTAGAAAATGGAGAAAAAAAGTCAACATAGTTCTTTTCATTCCTCTCTGGAGTACAAACTCTTGCCGAGACATAAAACATGCTCCATAGAAGCAACGGGCTGGTCTTGACCGGACCGCCAGCCGCGCAATCGAGCAAAAGATTATTCAAATCGACGATTGGTACCATGGGGTGTATGTAATGCACATAGTGCCACAGTAGTTCGCATCTAAGATTTTCTGGTGGTAGGTCAAACACGCCATTGTTCTGCAGGTACGACATGTCCTCTGGTCTCGTTGATTTTGCTGCAGTGTAGGGAACTACAAAGTGATTACGCTCTAGACGCTCGGGTCGGCAAATGTCTAGCATGAGTTCTAGGCCTTGCTCATTTCCTATCAACATCGAGAAATGTCAAACCTCGGCCCAAAAGGTAGGTGACTGTCATGTAGTCTCATGGCTGGAATGGTGGCATACCGACGTAAAAGGGTACTGCATCCTGAACGTCTTGGCCCTCGAGGCTCACATTGAAGGAGCCAGGATTGACAAGGTCATCTGGGCTTCCATCGTCCACGTCTGTCTGGGTTGGCATTGGGCTCGGGATAACCTGTCCCGGATGACACCCGATGCTCCTACCATGACTTTCGGGCGGCGACACCAGCGGCTGGTTTTGAGCAGCAAGCGACACATTCCCTAGCATTGAACTCTGGAGAGAAGACATTTGTGGCAGAGGCGAACTGGAGCTTTCTGCATGCGTTGTCCGAGATGTGGGTGAAAGACCGATACCAATTCTGCGAGCCTCACGGTCAGCGCGGGCTCGGCGCAAGCTTCCTTGGCGAGAAGAGGCTATACCGAGTTCTCTTTGGACGAAAGATTGTACAAGAAGCTCCGTCCTGCTCGCAGTTTGCGCAAGGGAACCCCTTGGTGCTGATATTGCATCTCACCTTGCGGGAATGGCACTTTTCGCACGCGACCGTAGCACGCTTTCGCCGCGAGCTCGGAGGCCCTGCGGCCTGGCCCAGCGCGGCGTTGCGCATCTTGAATCACATTGAATGGCGGCTGCCCAATGTCCAACTGATGAGAAAAGGAATCCAATATCGTTATGCCAGTCGAAACATGAAGATGGTTTGGTTGCGCCAGAGGTTACGCACCTACCTGCTAGGTAGCATTTGAGTGAGTGGTGGGTAAGCTGCGGGACCTAAAAAACTGCTGCTTCCGGCCTGTATCAAGTGTTGGGCTTGCAGGCCAAAATGAGCGGAATTCAAGGTTATTACCGGGACAGCTAGTGAGTGCTCCGGGCGGGTTCCGGAAACCCCGCACCCTAGACCCTCACTAAAGTCACATTCTTTTGGGGTCTTGGCCAGACTGGCTACTTCTATAGGGGATAAATCTGAGGGCAATTGCCTTTGCATTTCTCGGCAACAAAGTCTCGATCATGTACGTCAATGGCCACGAGATGTCTTGATGTTTAGTAATGTGAGTTTCAACTATTTTCAACGCACTTGCAAGGAATTTGCCAAAGAGTCTCGACTGATCCCATCGAGCGACGAAAGAAATGTACTAAAGAGCGCCCCAAGATTATGTGCCAAAAGCAGATAATCTGTGGCAGGTACATTCAAGTCAGTAAAGACTTTGATTTTGCATACATTGATTAGGATTAAGAATTATTGGCGAAATTCGGTTTTTTATTTAAGAGAAATTTATACAAGTCATACGCCAAGAGTCTGGATATAGTCTTCTACTGCCCTTTCAAAACTCTCGGCTGGGAAAAGTCCAACGCTCAGTGCTAATGATACATCAAAGTTGTGAGGCCATGATTGTACAAGTTTGCCGAAACGCGTGTCTGCAGCCTCTTCAACGTATTTCAGTCTGTCCTCTCCTGCAATCTTGACCAGTGCATCCCTCATTTCCTGAATCGTTACCAAGGATCCTGGGGCATTTATAGCCCGCCTGTGCGAGGGAAGACAAGTTGATGGGATTGTGAGCAGGCGTACAAGATTCAAAACGGCAATCTTTGGTGAGCAGACCCAGAAAGGACTTGATCGATCGGCCGTGGGTACTGTGCATTTTCTGCTGGCCAGGGGTTCGCGGATAATTGCACTCAGAAAGCTGCTTGCTGCCTGCGCTGGAGGACCTGGTCGGATTGCAATACCTGGCAGCCGGATCGAGAATCCATCGATATACCCGCGCCTGGTATAGTCGTTGATCATGGTCTCGCACATGAGCTTCTCATTGCCGTACGAGCCCTCTGGTGTCGGATAGGTCCCCTCGGTGATGACGTCTGGAAACGGACGCCCATATACTGCAATGCTCGATGCATAAATGACACGTATGCCAGGCCGTTTGCTCTTGATTTGGTCCAGCAAATTGCGTGTGGCATCAAAGTTGACTCTAAATCCCATCTCAAAGTCGGCTTCGGCGCCAGAAGACATGATGCCATGAAGTATATAGACGGCATCTATATCAGGTTGTACTACCACGGATGAGCTCTCATAGAGGTCGGCCTGAATGGCAGTCACCCTCTCAGTGTGAGGCAAAGACGCTGGTGGGGCGACTGCTGAGACGTCGGTGAGGATCAGGTAATGGTTGGAGTCATTCATCAATTCTTTGGCCAGCATTTGGCCGAGAAAACCGCCAGCACCGGTAATGAGGATTTTCATCTCAAAGTCAGCAAGTCTCGTCAAGCCGAGTATGATGGTATGGCGCGCAATGGGATGGACGTGCGAAAACTCGGCTTGACATCATGAGCTTGCGTTCAATTGACTCTTTGCCAAGAGCTCAGCAAGACCCTTTTTTTTTTTTTTCAATGCGATGCATCCATACTCCAAGCAAGAGACCATTTCGGCGGGGTTGTTGTACGCGACGGACGGCAGAGCACTCGGGGATACCTAAATATTGCCGTACCAGACATATCAAGCATGTCCTACAAGCCTGTTGATCTCAGTAGT